GAGCTCGTCCCAGCTCACCCCAGACTACTGCTGCAACCTCGGCAGGGCCCGCTTCCCTGTGGGCACATTCCAATTCTGTGGGCTCCTAGTGTGGATCCACCAGCAGCGCGCTGAGCGTCCTGCAAGTCAGACACCAGCCCACCGCTCGCCTCAGCCTCCCGCCCTGGGGGTCTGCCCCGAGGAACCCTCTACTCAGAGACCTGCCCTGGCCCGTGGTGGGGCAATCACTGCTGTTGCGGCTCTCCCTCGCCCAGAGCGGTCACCACAGCCTGGGCAGAGCTGCTGCCCCAGTCTACAGATGAGGAAACGGCACCTACCCAGAGGCCCCACACTCCGGGCAGAGCGTCGACTGGGACCCAGGGCCAGCACCCCCACTGCAGGCTCAGTGGGGGCAGAACTGCGGTGGTGTGTGCCTCAGCTTGGGTGAGCCTCCAGAACTGGCCTGGGCTCACACGGGGTCAGCATAACAAGTGAAGGCCAGCCCCAGCCTTGGCGTGCTGGGAAAGGGCCAGCCAGACAAATCCCAGCAATGCCTCAAGGCAGGAATTGTTGAGTCCTGTGACCAAGAGCCCCTTGGGGGCACAGCATCGGGTCTCCTCCAGGAAGCCCAAGGATGCCTGGGGTCATTCTCAGGGCAGTGGCTGGGTGGAGATGGCCGCCTCTGGATCCTGGCGCACCAGGCCTCTTGCCCGCTTGAGCCAGAAGGCCCATGGTGTCGTTAACCCTCCGTGTGCACAGGGCCCAGGCCTATCGCCTACTGGCTCACCTTCTGCTGGGCGGGGGGCGACTCGCTTTCCAGCTCCCCCCCCTCTTCCAGATGCAGGAGCTCCTGTCCTGGGGCCAGGATGCTGCTGGGTTGAGTCCAGGCCAGAGGAGAGGCCCAGTCACTGATATTTCAAGGGTTCTAGCAATCTAGGTTTTTTGTTTGTTTAAGAAGCAAACAAACAAATACAACATGTTTACAGAAAACGATGTGTTCGATTTGTGGTTGATGCATACTTTGGGTGAAAGATGTGATTGGAGGTGTCTGGAGAAGTGGCCTGGGGCTGCCCTGAGGCCCTTCCAGAACCCGCAGAGAGGCCAGGGCAGGGCCTAGAGGAAGACCTTTGTGGAGCCCACCGCCTGGTCTGCGGCTGGTGGTTCACCGCGCTTGCTGTGCAGTGTCTGCCCTTCCATCCGCCCCCCGTTTTGTCTGTTTTGACTATAAGCGCTCATTAGAAAGACCGATCCCAGCCCAGCCAGGTGTCCCAGAGGGGCAGGCTGTTCCCACAGGTTTCCTAGTTAGTATCTGCTTGTGCTTCTGATCACATATACCGCAGGCCAGCCCTGTTCTCATTACAGGGCTCAGATATGGGACTTCAGAGGCAATCCCCCAGGCTAGAAACTGTTTCTGTGATTTTACCTGATCGGAAGGTCCTCAGAACCAGTGGCTCTCTCTGTGAAAGTGAGGCTCACCCCACAGTGGCTCAGGAGGTCCATGTGTGGAGTCACGGCTTCTTGCAGAAGGAGGTGGCCCGCGGCCATCTGAGGAGAGAGGCCTGGCTGCTTTCTGTGGCAGTACGAAGGTCTAGGTGGCCTGTGGGGGGTGCGTGGTGTGTACGCCCCAGGCCACTTCTCCAGACACATCTAATCACATCTTTCACCCAAAGTATGCATCAGTCATACTGATACTTCAGGCCTCCCTCTAGGCCCTGCCCTGGCCCCTCTGCGGGTTCTGGAAGGGCCTCAGGGCAGCCCCAGGCCGCTTCCAGCACCGGGGTGCTGAGAAGCTGATGTTAGGGCTGAGGTGGGGTGGGGCCCAGGAGCTCACACAGTGTAGCCGCTGCACAGAGAGAGAGGGCCTGGCAGAGACACCCATCCGGCTCTGGGACTCCAGCCCCGTCTCCTGCCCAGGCTGTGGAGGCCAGGGGTGGGTGCACACGTGGGAGTGTGAGCATTGCACATGTCTTCCACGTGCGTGTGGGGCGCCTCAAACTCCCACCTCCTCACCACGCCCGCATGCGCTCCAAATAGTGTCTGTACCTGCCCATGGCAGGGCCCATGTCCCCCAGGGACCCAAGCGTTTGGTTAGACATCATTCTGGGTACCTGTGAGGGTCTTTCTGGATGACTTTAGCATTTAAATCTGTAAAGTGAGTGAGACAGGTGGCCCTCCAGCGTGTGGGTGGGCCTTATCCAATCCCCTGAAGGCCTGAACAGAACAGAAAGCCAGACCCTCCCCCAAGGAGGAGAGCGCTCCTCCTGCCTGGGCCCTTGAGCTGGGACCGAGGTTCTGTCCAGCCCTGGGAAGAACTGTACCCCTGCAGATCTTGGGGCATCTGGGCCCCACACCTGCGTGGCCAGCTCCTCAGAGGAAGGCTGTCTGTGTATTGGCGTCCTGCTGGTCTGTTTCTCTGGAAAGCTGGTCCACCCTTTACAGCGTGTTGCTCTGGTTTTTCCCTGCAGGCCTCTGAGCACAGTCTGCGGGGCTGGGGCCAGGAAGGGACCGCGAGGGTAGGTGGTGAGGTGCTGCGGCCTGCAGCTGGGTGGCAGCATCCAGGGCGCAGAGGTAGGGGCGGTGGGGGCCTCCGTGTTGTCCAGGGCCTGTGTGGGGGGACCAGCCTGTGAGCAGCAAGACTGGCCCTCAAGCAGGGCAGGAGGCCTGAGAGCGATGAGTTCAGAGTGACCGACTGTCTGAAAGGGGGTATGGCACTCGGGTGTCCTGGGAGCACCGGGCGTCAGTAAGTATCAAGTGCCCGCACGTGGAGAGTGGAGAATGAGCTGCGGTCTTCAGGACTTTCCCATCACTGGAGGGACCGCCCCGATTCCCTTCCGCAGGGAGGCTTGGGCCCTGTGCTGACTGACGGAGCCAGGGAAGCAGGCACGGGAGATCTCGGGAGGGAGGGAGCATGGAGCTCCTCGCCCCCTCGGGCTGTTTGCACTTGCTGCTCCTCTATGGGAGGCTCTAACCTAGCCCCTTCCCTTGGGCTTCCCAGCTGGGGCTGCCCTCGTGTCCGTTTGAGCCAGCTGCCTTCTGAGCTGCTCGCTGGTGCCTGGAGCTGAGCTGGCCGGGTCAGTGTTTGCTGCCAGCTTTGTGTACGCAAAGGTGGGGGACCCCGAGTCTGGAATCGACCTGAGACCCATAGGCAGGGCAGGGGCTGGGAGGTCTTACGGTGAGCAGGGGTTCCGATGTCAGGGTGTGGGGGGAGCGGCCACCTTGGGCTGAGATGAGCCGGGGCTCTGAGGGGTTCATCTGACCGGGACTCGAGGAGCGGCCACCGAAATGCCAGCAGCCCGTGGGTGTCCCTGGGGTCTGATATTCCAGAAGGCCAGTGTGGTCTGAGAAGTCAGGGTCCACTTGCTGCCCTCACAGAAGCCTGTGGAGCTTCGGGCAGAGCCACGTGGCATGGGCCAAGCTGGCCATCATCTTCCAAGCTGAACAGCTTCAGCAAGGCAGGGTTCCCAACCTTGCGGATGTCCCAGGGCAGGCGCCCCTGCCAGCCCAACCTCCCCTCTCCCTTCCCGCTGCCCCTCAGTGAGCCCTGGGGAGGGGGTGGGGATGCAGGGTGAACCCCTCCTCATGCAGGAGGATGCACACTCCAGCCCTTAGTGTCACATCAGAGGTGAGAGGCTTTGGTGGGGCTGTCCTCCGTCTGTGTGACTGTGGTGTGGGCCCCTCGGGAGAATCCTGGGAGTGTGGAATGTCCACCCTCAGAGAGGAGGAGTCTGCTGCTGCCCCCAGGTGCGGCCTGCAGCCACGCACGGTTGCTCCCAGCCCAGGCTGTGGGGTCACACACAGCAGGACAGTCGTGGGGGCTTCCGGGCCTGGAAGGGCAGTGCCAGTCTGGCCAGCCATGTTGGTGCACCTTACTAGTTCTGGGGATTGTGGGCCCCTCGCACAGACAGGAGGAGGCGTGTAGTGCGAGGTCGGAGGACCTCACCTGCCAAGCACAGCGTGTCCCCGTCTCCATCGCCAGGCCAGGGGACCACAGCGGACTGGGACGTTGGTTCTCCCTGCCACCTGCCCAGGTGGACTGAGGCCTGGCTGGGGGGCCAGGTGCCCAGCTGAGCACAGAGGCCAGCCCTTGGAGAGGCTGCCACAGTCACCCCTCAGGTTCTCAAGAAGCACTTCCTGCGGGGCCGTGAGGGTATCACCTGGGACGTGGGGGAGCACCTCAGCCACTGCATCACCTTCATTCAGGCTCTCCTCCCCTCCCCCTTGTGTGAATGCTTTCCCAGTGGGTCCTTCCCTCTTCTTCAGCAGCCCAGTGGAGATGGTACCTCCCACCCTGCTCCATGGGCCCAAGCACGAGGCTGGCCACCGCCAGTAAATGCAGGTTCTCCTGGGCTCGGCTCACTGGCAGGACCAGCTCTGCATAGTAGGGGCTGTGCTTGCTGCTGTGGGCACCCTTCTGCTGCGGTTGGCATCGGCACAGCAGGGCATGCTCAGTAAACCCCCGCTGGGTGTCAGCCCCTGCTTTGGGACCAGGTGCAGCTGTGAGCAAGATGGGCACAGGTCCCTGTCCTAGGGAGGGGGTCCAGGGTCCCTGACGTTCTGCATAGCTGGCTGGATGCCGTGCTGCATGGAGTTGGGCAGAGAAACCTACGGGTGGCTCTGGACCAGGGGACAGTGGTCAGCTGCTGTGGTGATGGCCCTCAACTCAGGAAGCAGAGGGACACCCTTAGAAAGGCCAGTGCGGCACTTGCTGCATTTTGGGCCACGGATTAGGGGCCCCCGTGACCGGCTGGGGTCCCTTGGGAAACAGCCCCTGGTCCAGCTGTGTTTTCACATCACTCTCTGAGCCCCCCAGTCCTGACAGGCCCACCCACACTCGTCTGACCCATCTGCCCGTCTTCCTGAGGTGTGAGTCCGGCCTGATAGCCCACTCGGGGGAGGGGGTGGTGCTTGGCACTCCAGGTAGGTGCTGTCACATGCCCAGGGACCCGCCCTCAGGGCACGGTCTTCCATGGTGTCACTGACGTCACTGCCAATTAACCAGCTTTGTCCTTCCTCACTCACAGAAGGACATGGCCCTGAAGCCACATGAGCGGAAGGAGAAATGGGAACGTCGCCTTGCCAAGAAGCCCCGCGAGTCAGAAAACTGCCCATCCGCAGAACCAAGTGAGAATGGGCGTCCCCTGGAGATCGTCAGTCCCGAGCAGGACCTGGAGCCTGCCTGCGACCGGGGGAAGAAGAAGGTCCCACTGCAGCCCACCAAGCAGGTGAGCACTGGGCCCTGCCCCACTCAGAACCATGGGCTCTGTGCCCTCTCCCTTGGGTGCCCTCGGGGCCACACCAGCACCTGGACACCACCGTCGGCATCTGGGCCTGCCTGGCAACGTGCTCCATCGTTGTTGGGCGTGGGGTATGGGGCATATGTGGACTGGGGCCCGAGGCAGCCGCTCGCCGTGAGCCCAGGTCCTGAGCAGACAGGAGACCTTCCCCTGGTGGGTCACACAGCCAGAGAGGCCAAGCTGGGAGCCCAGGGATTGGGGGTGGGGGAGCGTGTACTTGGGGCAGGAGGGTGCACCCGCTGATAGGCTGGCCCCGTTTCCCCATTGCGTCTGTCAGGCTCCGCCGACCACGGGGTGTCCAGGGTGTCTGTAATGCGTGGGGGCCGGGCTCAGCACTGGGTGTTCTCCATCTGCTAATCTTCTGTAGGGTACAGCGTATCTGTGAGGGGGGAGTGTGTCACGTGACTCGTGGTCAGGGGCCCCGGTGTAGGGAGCAGCCCCACCCAGGGGCCTCCCTCCACAGCAGCTGGGAGACGGGCCCTTGGTGGGAGGGGCCGTCCTTGCTGTCACCAGAGCCCAGCTGGGTCGGGTGGGGAGACTGGGACTGGGGGGCCCTCTCCCAGAGCGTGGGGCTCTATCCCAGGTGCCGGCTCAGCCCTGCAGCTGCTTTCCTCCTCAGGGACTCACTGGTATGCGCCTTCTTTTCAGAGAGGGGTTCTTCTTGGTGTTTCACACTCCACTTTCAACTCCCTTGGGGATTGGGCTGCTGGTGAGGGGGCAGCATGTCTCAGGGGCCCGGGCTGGTTGGGGGGTCTGCAGGCACACCTGCCCAGGTGGACACGTGCTCTTTCTTCCATGCAGGTGTGCTCCCCAGAAGGGGGGCCGCTCCCAGCCAACCACTGGGACCAGAACGGCCCGGCCCAGCGCCAGCAGCAGCTCCAGCCCAGCCAGCCCCAGGGGTCACTCCCAGCCCCGTGTCAGCGCTGCCAGCCCCGTCGGGCTCTCCCGGACCCCGGGCAGCCCTGCCAGCCCCAGCGGCCACTCCCGGGTCAGCGCAGCTGGCCCCAGCGGTCACTTCTGGGCCCAAGACAGCCCTGCCAGCCCCGGCGGTCACTTCTGGGCCCGGGTCAGCCCTGCCGGCCTCAGCGGCTGCTTCCAGCCCCAGAGCAGCCCTGCCGGCCCCAGCAGTCACTCCTGGCTCAGCCCTGCCGGCCACGTTGGGCGCTCCTAGGCCCTAGGCAGCGCTCCCGGCGCCTGCGCTCCCTCCTGGCCCCCTGGCAGCGCTCCCGGCCCCTGCGCTCCCTCCTGGCCCCATGCCACCTGTGCCGGCCCCTGCGCTCTCTGCTGGCCCTCTGGCACCGCTGCTGGCCCGTGCGGTCATGGGTGGCCCCCTGTCTCCGTGGCCAGCCCAGCAGGGCATCCTCAGGACAGCGGTGCCGGCCCCCGCAGTCACTTCTCCTGCTGCGTCCACGCCGCCGACCTGCCAGCTCACTTTCAGTCCAGTGCTGCTGCCCTCGGCGCACTCTCTTAGCCCCTTGCCAGCCCCGGAGGTCCCTTCTGGGCCAGCCCAGCTGCCCCCAGGGGTCACTGCTGGGCCTCAGCCAGCCCCAGCAATTAGTAGAAGCCCCAGAGCACCCTGGCCCCCCAAAACCTTCACTGCTGGGCCCTGGACAGCCATGCCAACAGAAGCGGCCACTCCTGGGCCCAGAACAGCCTCACCCGCCCAAGCGGCCACTCCTGGGCCCAGAACAGCCCTGCCGACGAAAGCGGCCACTCCTGGGCCCCGAGCAGCCCTGCCAGCCCCTGCAGTCCCTTCTGGGTCCCAGCCAGCCCTGCAAACCCCAGCCGTTACTCCCCATCCCTGAGCGCCCGTCGCTCCTAGGCCGGCCAGCCCCGCCCCGTCGGCCCCTCCTGGGGCCCCCGAGCCAGCCACGGCGGTCACTGCTGGAATTGGTTCGGGCCCATCAGCCGCAGCTCTCACTCCTGGCACTGGGCCGTCCCTGCAGGCCCCTGAGGTCACGACGGACTCGATCTTCCACCCCTGCGGTGGCCCGCCAGGCCCCGTCTGTGAGTCCTGGAGCCTGATGCCCGTTTTCTAGGCCACCCTGGGGGTGGCTGTGCTGGGCACATGTGCTGCCAGCCTGGCCAGAGGCCTTCTCCAGACAGGCCGGGCTGTTTGCGGTTGGAAACAGGCTCAGCAGAGGCAGCCCCTGCAGGGCCGCTACCAGGCTGAGGCCCACCTGCACCAGGAAGAGAGGAGAGGACCCCCAGCGTCTTCCCACCTCCCTGCCATGCCTGCCCCCATCGTGCCGGCTACTTGGGGATGCGCACGCTCCTAGGAGAGCGGACACGGCTGCCCCCGAGGGCTCGGGCTTATTGGAGGCCTTCCTCAGTGTCTCTCTGTGCCTCTGAAGTGCCCACGTGTCCTTGTATGTCAGAGCCTGTGCACGCCCAGCCCGGGTGTGGGTGCGTGTATGTGGTGTGCGTGCATACGTGTTGTGGGGGGTGCCAGCGCAGGCCTCGTGCTCCTTGGGCCCTAACCCATTTGCCAGTGTGCATTCCATGCCCTTAGGCAGAATGTGGGCCCAGCTGGAGCCAGGCCACAGGTCCTGCTCACCTCCCCTCAGGCGAAGGGCGAGGATGCGTGTGCATCTCCAGGGTTCTGTGAAGGCAGGGAGGGGACACGGGGCACTCAGGGCTGTCTGTGGCCAAGTAGGAGCTGCTGGTGACAGGAGGGTGTCCCCCCCCATCCCCCCCAACTCTGCCTCCACCCCAGTGGCTAGGGACTGAAGTGGAGGCAGAGTCTCCCGTCCCCCCAGCTCTGGACCAGGAGGGCCGGGGCCATTCTTGGAATGCCTCCTCCTGGCCTCACACTCAGCCCGTGCAGCTGTCCAGCTGTTGGCCCCCCAGGACATTCCCTGTCGGGACAGACCTCACACTACAGGGCTTTTTCTGCCCTCCGCCCATCCCAGACCCATGCCGAGGGGTCGCCCATTCCTCACCCCAGACCCCTGGCTCAGGGCAGTCCCACACTGGTGCTCCTGGAGTCCTGGGCATAAGGCAAGAGCTCAGCTCTGACCCTCCAGAATTTGAGGGTCTCTGGAGAAGGGGGCTGCAGCCCCTTCTGGACAGCCGCATCAGCCACTTGGGGGTGCCCTGGCTGGGCTCCCGGCAGCCCTTTGTGTGCCTAGTGTCACTGAGCTGCGACAGCCACTCCAGTGCTGACCCTGTTCGTGGAGGCTTGGAGGTGCCCCCCCCGCCCACCCCATTTGCTCATGAGGACACTGGCCCTCTGGGGTCCCCACTGGCTGGGTGTGGGGGCCGCCCAACGCCCACAGCAGGGCTCACGGGCATCTGGTCCTCACCAGGGTCTCCCAGAAACGCGGGGCTTATTTTTCCGATTAAAGAAAATAAAAAGTGCCGTGCCATTATTTTTATGACAGCATCAGTGAGTGTGTGTCATACGTGAAGTGATTTATTCCGACAAGTGGTTTTCTGCACATCTGGACTTGCCGCCTGTTCGCTGCATTCCTGCCGAGCATCGGGAAAGCAGCCGGGGAGGGGGCGCCCAGGGAGGGGTGCACGGCCCGGACGCGGCTCACCATGCTGTGGTGTGCGTCCGGGGGGCCGCGCTCGCCGTAGTCACCCAGCAGACCATCCTGCTGTGTCCCTCGGAGCCGCTGCTCGGGAGGGGCCCTCTCTCTGGGTGCTGCAGGAGGCGCCTCTGAGACGTGCGATGGGCTCCGGCTGTGCCCACCGTCCCCTCCCTCCTCCCGACCGGAGGCGGCAGTGCTGGGATCTCTGCCTTCTGGGTCCTGTGCAGGTGCTCGGGCCGGCCAGGCAGGTGTGGGCTGGCGCTGCGTTTCTAGGCCCTTCTGCTCTGGGAGTGTGGCCCTGGCACTTGAGTGCCCACGTGGGGGAGACAGAATTGACAGGGCGCTGGTCAGCGGGAGAGGGTGGGAGCCTGCAGCCCCCCGTGCCGGGCCCACCCCTTCCCCCTCCAGAATGGCCCCACCGGGATCGAGCCCCATGGTGCCCATGGGCCCCCGCTGTTCCTTGCCTGCTTCCTTGCCGAGACATCTGAGCCCAGAGGGGTCCCCTGGGGTCACAGCTGGCCTTGGGTTCACAGTGGCAGGAGCCTGAGGGGAGGCACCCACTTGCTATCGGGGGGCCAGACCACATGTGCCACGTCCTGGGGGCCGCTGCCGCCCTCATTGCCATGAGGGGACGAGGGTCCTGTGTGGCCAGATCTTGGGGGTTTCTGAGAGCGGCTAGGAATGTGGGGTTTTTTGTGGATTTGGAGATTTTGAAATGTTGGTGGCTCATTCCAACGTCATGAGCCACCTTGCTGGCCAAAGGACACAGCTGTAGGGTCCCTGCGTGGCCTGGGGGTAGAGGTTTGGGCCCTGGCAGCTTACGTGGCCCCAAGGCCAGAGGGGTGGGGTGTGGCCCGCCCCGTCGTGGGGAGAATGGGGGTAGCTTGGTCTGAAGATTGGGGGTAGGTTGAGTCCTTCGGGGTGCTGTGGGTCTGAGGGGCCCAGGGTTGCTCCAGGGGACCCCTTGGATGGAGATGGGAGCCTGGGTGCAGTGCTCTGCTGGGGTCTCCCTTCAAGCCCTACAGCCCGCCCTGCGTAAGCCCCCTGCCTCCACCTCCCTGTCTGCGGATGGGGCCTGGAGGAGGAGACCATGCCTGGTCCCTGCTAGCCCGGCGAGGAGCAAGGGCAACGATGGTGGGTGTGGCTGTTTGCGGGGAGGAAGGAGGCCCCTCAGGGTGCACCTGGTGGAAGGTGAGATAGCCCTGGGAAGGGAGGGCCCTGAGCATGGGGACAGTCTATGCGGGCCTCACCCAGCGCTCGTCTGGGACATCCTGCCCAGGATTCCTGGGAGGTGCATGTCGCCTGCGTGCCTGTGCGTGTCTGTGTGTGCTTCTGCCGAGATGGCGGTGCTCCGGGAGCAGGCTCCCAGCTCGGGTGAACGCCAGGGCAGTC